CTCTCTCTCTCTCTCTCTCTCTCTCTCTCTCTCTCCTTTCAAAAGGAGCTCTCTCCCAGGATATGGATTGAGATTCAAGCCCATGAGCAAATAATCAGAAAGAGGTGTCAGGGGTGTGAGCACTTGAGATCCTCAGACTCACCTTAAGGAAGCAACTCCATCATCACAGACTAGAGGAAACAAAGAAAAAACACCACAAAGCAGTGGACAAGAAGCCTGGTGCCTGCACCAGTTCTCTCAAAGCTGGCTGTGTAGGACACGACAGGCCTCTGCCACAGCTCAGCTGCCTTCGGAATGGGAGGAAAGGCAGAGGCACAACAGGAGACCCAGCCTCCCAGATGTCAAAGCTTGGCTCTGGTTTACCAAGCAAACTCCAAGGATACAAAGCATATGCAATACTTCTTTCTTGTCGCAATGCAGTTAGAGTTTGCGGCATTCTTAGAAGAACTAAAGTTCTGAGGTGGAAAGAACTGTAAATCACACCACAGGGTGTGTGAGGGTTATCTGGGTGCAGGTATTTTCCTAGAGGAGGGAAGTGCCGCTTGTCTCCATCACTGCTTCTCTTTGGGAACATTATGAAATGTGCTTAACACAATCTGAAAACCTGTCCCCATGAAACATGAACTATTTCCAGGGACTAGGATGTGTCCAGTTACACAGGCCCAACCTTGTGTCATGTGCCATGTGCAAGTTAGAGCATCTTCCTGAGTGATTTGGTGAGGGTATGGCAATGGGGAAAAGCACTTGGAAAATACATGTACTTGATGGGGAGTGCACACTGCTATGGTGAAAAGAAAGGTACCCTTCACACACAAGCAGGAACTTGACCTCCTGCCCCTCCTCTTCTGGAGGCCCCCAAAAGTACCCCACAGACACCTCCCTGGGCAGCCCTGGCCCTGCCTCCCCACTGTGTCTCTGGCTAGAAGTGGTGCTGGTGGAGGGCTGCAGGTGAGGGTCCTTTCTCCAGCCTCTTGACATGGCAGGAGTGACAGAACAGGTGGTCTTCCAGTGGGTAGCAGCGGTGACCATCCTCATCATTGAGCTCTAGGCCACAGTCCTACAAGGAGGCAAGAATGTCCCATGAAAACAAAACAGACTGCAAGAGTAACATGAAACCACAATCCACCCAATCAGCAAAGGGCACTTCATGCCTGTGGGCAGCTCCTGTCCAGTGAAAGAACCAGTGGCTACCTGCTACCATAAGGCTCAAATGGGACTGATGGGAACTAAGAGGTGGCTTCAGAAGAAATATACACCAGGCTTCCCAGACAGAAGACCCAAAGAAGATAGAAAATATAGATAGCTTTTACAAGTTGAAATAACATTGTAACATTGTGCATCTTAATCCCACATATCCCTACTCTTTTGAGATAGTGTCTCGTGTAGTCCAGGCCTGCTATGTCATCTGTAGTCAAGAATGACCTCGAACTTTTGATCCTCCTGTCTCAGCATTCTAAGTGATGGGATTACAGGTGTGCACCATCACTCCTAGTTTTTGTGATGCTTCCTTCTGAACTCAGGACTTACATGGTAGGCAAGCCCTCTACCAAGAGAACAGCACCACCAGCATCTCCACCTGTTTCTTTCAACTATTTGGATGTGACTACTAGAAAATGAAGAGACACATAATTTCAATTGTGGCACTCGTATTTTTTGTTATTGTTGTTGTTTGTTTTTTTGTTTTTTGAGACAAGGTTTCTCTGTACAGCCCTGGCCATCCTAGAACTTGCTCTGTAGACCAGGCTGGCCTTGACCTCAAGAGATTTGCCTGCCTCTGTCACCACCACTAGGTGAGGCACTTGCATTTTTAATGGTCAACCAGGGTCATGAATGTGCAGAGAAGACTGTTAAGTCTTCATTCTCTCCTCCAGATTCATGAAGTACCACCAGCCATGAGTCCCACCTACTTCTTCAGTGCGAGCAGTGAGACCCATCTACATGTTACCAATACTCCCTGCTTTCCCTACCTATAAGACCACAAGTGAATCTAGTCTATTTCTGGGGATGAGTCCACTCAGTATGGCTGGAAGACTGATGGGGAGTGATCTCTGGCACTTATGGTTCCTTCAGTGCCGGATATCACACAGGGCAGCACGCCACACAACCTTTATACCCACCAATTGATGTAACTATTTCCAAAAGAGGTTTCTCCATGATTTCCAGGTCTCAGTTCAGACAGAAGCTTCTGACAGAACATTCTGTACCCAGAAGGGAAAAACATCTCTCCCACCCTCATTATACACCTAAGTGACAGTCTGATTTTAGCCCCTCCCTACACATAATTCTCTGGTTCTGTAGCTTCAGGGATAGCAACTGCAAGTTTCAGAACTTTCTAGTTTTGAATTTTCAGAAAATGACATAGAGCTTCATCCCAAACATCTGTTATTACCCTCATACAATCAGTTATTGGAGGACAGACCTCAGAAAGAATCTGGTGACTACCCTAGTCCCATGACCCAGGAGGCCTTTTTAAGGTAGGCTTTGGGGCTGGACAGGGAGGGGCTTACCTCACAGTGGTAGCATTCCACATGGTAGTCTCTGTCCATGGACACAACACGGATGGTCTCATCTGAACCCTGGGATGAAAGAAAAGCAAGACATGCAAAGAGGCCAGTTAGAAGTCCATGGAATAACACCAGCAATGGGATAGGGTGGGAGGAGATTGTGGGGTAATAGTAGGAGGCCTTGGGGGAGAGATATAAATCAAGAGTGAATACTAAACACTTGTAGGAAAAAGACCAGATTCAGTGGATGTGAGAGTAGGTAGGGGCAGTGTGATCTTCTGGGATGTCAGAGACAATACTGAAAGAAACACCAATGACAACATTTTTTTTCTTTATTTTTTTTGCATATGTATGTATGCATGACTGCATGTGCATAGGCACACACATGTGTGCACATGCATGTAAAAGCCAGAGGTTTGTGTCTGGTATCTTCCTCCTTCACTTTCTATTTTATTCACTGAGGCAGGGTTTCAGGGATATTTATTTTTTAAAGATGAATAAAAGACAAGCTTTCTGTCCCTCTAATCTAAGACAGTTTGATTTGGCTCTTAGACAAAATGGCACAAGCAGGACATGGGGCTAGGAAGCCAGCACAGGAAAAAGGGACAGTACTGGGCATTGGAGAATTATGTTGAAAGGTATAAGAACAGTTATAGATCTTCTGAGTGACTCAAGGGAGACATCCCAGTCTTCAGAAGACCTATGAGCAGATAAGCATCTTACCTCTGGTGGAAGGATGGGAAGCCCACAGGCTGCACACTTTGGGGCCAGCACCCTGCGGGAAAAACAAAGGGAACACAGTGCACATTGTGTTATTACCAGAATATGAATGGCAACCAGGGCCTGCCAGAGCCCTCCATGGCCAGCACTCAGGATTATGTGGACCTAGATTCACTTTTTGGAATAGAAACATTATTCCTGGCTGCTACAGGGAAATCTGACTGCTTCCTGCTCCCCTAAGTATAAAGATGAAGCTGGCTGTTTTCTCCCTTCACAGCTAGCTGGGATGGTCCAAAAGCAGAGAGTGGTAGGTGCTGAGCGTGACTTGGTGCTTGGTGAAATTGGGTAAATCTGAAGCCACAGGCTTGTTGGATTCCTCTGATTTTGTGTTCTGCTTTATCACCAAACAAACCTTAAAAGAGTTCCTATATACTTTCCATTCTGCTGAGCTCAGCGGGGCCTGTGTAAGGTTGCCATTTACTCTCTTCATTTCTCCTTACTTGTGGTAATCTCGGACACAGTAGATCTTGTTCTCTGAGTCCACGGTGAAAGGCACTCCATCCAGACATTCATTACAGATGACACAGCGGAAACAGCCAGGGTGATAGGACTTCCCCAGGGCCTGTAGGATCTGAGGACACACAGGAAAAGACTCACAGAGATGAAGGGAAGGAAGGACCATGAAGAAAGAGGAACATGTCGGTTGAAGAGCCACATGCACAGCTGCACCATGGCACAGGCTCCACCTGGCCCAGAGTTTCACCCAAACAAAGGTCAAGAGAGGTGAGTCTGCTCAGACTTGTGGACAGGAGAGGATCAAACAGGGATGCTGTGGAATAATCCTGTACAGTATGAAAGTGTGTTGCTCTAATTGCTAATAAAAAACTTATTGGTGAGCAGCCAGACAGGAAGTATAGGCGGAACAACCAAACTAAGGATGCTGAGATGAAGAAGGGCGGAGTAAGAGGTCACGAGCAGACATGGGGAAAAGCAAGATGAATGTACCATACTGAGAAAAGGTACCAAGCCACAGGGCAAAGCATAGATAAGAAATATGGGTTAATTTAAATGTAAGAGTTAGCTGGTAACAAGTCTGAGCTATGGCTGAGCATTTGTAATTGATATAACCACAGTATGTTTATTTGGGAGCTGCTGGCAGGACAGAAACTTCCACCTGCACAGGGACCTATGCAAACTCTCAGTTGTTGAGTGAGAGGAAATAGACTCCTGTCTGATCCTCTCATAGCAGAAACTTGTTTTCTCCTAAAAAGCAATACTAGTTAGGGCTAGCCCTGTCCTGGGACAGAACCTCTGAGTAAACCAGTTAAAAAGAATCTACCCCTCATATGGAAGGCAGCAAGCATATAGAAGAATGAAGGGAAATTCTAGATGGAACTATGAGAACTTGGACAAAAGCTCCTCACACTGACTCCTGGGACCCTTTCCATGTGGCTTTGATTCTATAGTGTGACACTCTAGAAGTGTTTTTAAGACACAAGTCAAGGACCCAGGGAGTGACTTAAACCAGTTGTTGGCCTTTGAGCAACCAGCACAGCTGACCATTTTTTGTTATTATTTTTCACCCAGTAGTAAGGATGGATCCTAGAGGCATGTACATGGTAGGCAAGCATTCTGACACTGAATTATACCCCCAGCTCTTAAATTCTTAAAGGCCAGTTTCCAATGGTAAACAATTTGTTGACCTCACTACCTGATTCCACAGGGAACATTATTCTTACTTATGAAACAAAGACTGAGACCTGGACAATCTAAAAGAGCCAGTGGCTGAGCACAGAATGGGATATGAAAACCTGGACTCTGTCTATCTGAATGCCAAAAGCTTTCTCAGGAATGGCTTGTACTGGAAGGAAAAAATACATTCATCTGATTGTACCCAATTCCCAGGTAGCTGATATTTCTGCAAGTAAAACTGGCCTCTCCTAGCACCTCACTGGGAAAGCCAAGGACCACAGAGAAACCAGAGGGAGACCAGTGTGAGCAGAATCACTCCAGTGTGCATGATAAAAACTGCATTGGTCCAAGCCAACAACAGCGTCTATTAGAGAAGTGGCTACAGTGGGCAAGGACGTCTTTACATAAAACCAGCAGTGACCACAAACCAGAAAGGAAACACTGTGTTCAATTATTAACTTCTTTTTAGCCTTCTTCCAAGGTGTTCTGATCTTGCTGAGCAATACTCACCATGTCCATGATCAGATGTCCGCAAAGAAAACACCTGTCGGCAGACTGCTGAAAGCCAGAGTACTGCAGAGAAGAGAAGAGAAAGATGAGTCAGCCACCTCCCCATCAGCAGCGAATGAGGAGGATTTCTGAGAAACCTGTGGTTACCCTGAAGGTGTGCAGCTGTGTGTTGAGTCATGGTAGTCCTGGGCCACCCATCCTAGTTATTGTACCTGGGCCCCACACTGTGTCAAGCTCTACATGACAGACGAACACAGAAAGTCTTTAATTCCTCATCTCAAAAGATTCCCAAAACAAGATCCTCAGAATCACTTGGAAACTTGGAACAAATTAAATTTATGGGCCCCACCTCAGATTTACTAAGCTGGATACAGGGCTGGGGCCTGGCATCTGTGTCCTAACAAGCTCTTTCAGGGCTCTGAAGACAGCACATGGTCTCTCTCTCTCTCTCTCTCTCTCTCTCTCTCTCTCTCTCTCTCTCTCTCTCTCTC